TTCTGTGCAAAAAGCTAAAACATGGTTTTATGGTTAGTGATAAGGTAGATATATTTGTATATGAAAAGCGTTAGATCATTAAGACTATGTTAACATGGACGAAACTTTAGACTGCCATGGAACCCAAAAGTAATGATGATGTTTTAAATCAAAGGGAAAACATATCTCAAGGAATTAGTAAGTGCTTTACTATATAGTCAATGGACGTAAGTAATATGCGGATAGTGAAATAAAAATTCATGATACACAATCAATAGGCCTGGACGTACACGAGGGAAAAAGAAAGATCCTCAAATACAACACGGAGAACAACAATCCAATCACACCTCAGGAAGAAAGTCTGGAAGAGGTAGAAATTTTCACATAAAGTACCTGGACAGCATCATCGATGAACAAGTGTGATTCGATGCAGATGTGAAGGTGAGGATTGGCAAATCAAGAGTCACATCTATTCTTCTACAGTTAAGGAATATATGGAACTCAGAACAACTGTCTGTCATCCAATATCAAAGTCAGAATCTTCAATACGAACGTCCAGACGGTTCCACTGTACGGAACTGAAACTTCGAGAACTACCACAACCATCATCAAAAACGAACAACTACTTGTAAACAATTGTCTACTCGAGACACTGAATATTCATTGATTGGATACCATCAGCAACAGTCTACTGTGAGAGAGAGGAAATCAGCAAAAGACGTTTGACGTGGATAGGATTTGTATTACTGTTGTAACGGGTGGGACTGCAGGTCTTTGATAAGCAGCGTTTTATTGATCGATCGATTACAGTGACACGGAAAACACGTCAGGACGACCTAGTGCCTCGATTGGCCCTGCTTCGCTGTCTGTCCTAGCCAGTTGAGTCAAGAAACACAAGTCACAGCCTCTGAGTTATGAATCATTGTATTTCAAACATACTCTATTTATATACCAAACAAACAAACCACATCGTACCATAAAATAGAAAACAACATTTACACAATATTTAACAAGTGAAACAAACATCGACCAATAAGAAATGTACATTTAAGGTCCAAGGCCACCATAAACTTAACACGATAATTATTGGTATATTTTTCCGACTATCCTAACAATTACGGAAATCACCAAACTGCATCACAAGGCAAGTACTAACTTGAAACCGTGAAAAGAAACTGGAAAGTGCAAGGCTGAAGAAAACTCTGCGTCTGGAATCGGGAGGAGACATGAAAAGTATGAATAGAAACTGGAAAGAACTGGAAAGGATTGTCGAGTACAGAATTGTATGAACAATGCTGATGAGAAATCTATGCCTCTCCACGAGGGGGTAGCAGGCGTAGGTATGTATGTAAGTACGTAAGTAATCACTAAACCCTGTTCGTAACCAGTAAAGCATGTTATGACTAATTCCAGAACATCAATACAATCGAGTAATGTAGACTTATTTCGTAATAAGGAATCTCAAAGTTACATCAGGAAAAAGCGCGGATTAAGAGGATGTGTTTCCACCATGAGTTTGCAATAAATTTTAGTTCAGCATTCACTTTTGTTTTAGGTTTAAATGAATTAACTGTTATAAAGATAATATACTGATGACTCAATGCTGCAGGAATTAAAACTAAAGATAGAGATGCAATTTTAGATTATTTCCATCTAGTTGTGTTAAAGCTTTTATTGTTACAGGAATGCTTAGACAAACGTTTACCTTTCGGAATTAAAAATATTCACAACGACGTGCTTAAGTATCATATTTTGACCACTCATTCAAGTATTTGTTTTACAAAATCCTCAACTGATTCAGAGTAGTTCCTCAGAGGTTTCAGCTGGTGTTGTTCATTTGTTTCGAATTACAAGACATTTAATTATTTAGGAATAGAGATAAATAAATGAGACATCTGTAAGTTGTGGATCTAACTAATTATATATTACATGGTTTGTTGGCCTGAATTAGGTATTTTCTAATTATACTTACAATTCGTCTTTAAATTTGATGGAAGTTTCCTGGTACTGCTTTTATAGATGTGTTACACAGTAAGCGTTATACTATCTCCTCTTATTAGCAAATGTAATGACCGCAATTATTTTAACTTATATTCATCATTAATTCATTTAATAATGAATTTCATAATAGTATTTTCATATATAAATATGAAAATCCATTTTAAATTAGATGTTAAAGCATGCAGCCTATTAATGATTCGTGAATTCGGGTGAAACTCAACTATCAGGTTAGTTTGATTGTGAGCAGTCTGTAAATTGAACAGGTAAATTAATTGTCACTTGGTAAATGATAAAATCAAATTGATTAAAAAAATATTTGAATCAGATAAAATGTCATTTGAATATTCATGCAACGGTTGAGCGAGATAACGTTCAAAATATAGCGTCAACTGAACGGCTATAGAATACATAATGGATAAAAGATATTTAGACTTAACTTGTTTCCGTAATCATATAATACTCTTCAGACTTTCATTGTAATATTATTGTGACCATATCACCGTATGCTATTTATTTTCATTGAAATATATCGCAATCTTTCAAAAATGAAATTTTGTGTAATCTGAACTCTCAAGTTATCATTCACCTTACTGCGAACCACAACTCACAAATCTATAACCGCTTACGAACTTAAATTTGAAAACACATTTTGATATTTCCTACAGAATGTATCATTCAAAAAATCTAATCCCCATTTTACTTATTTATATTTATTTAAACACATAAACATTGGTACAAGGAGATAACAAATAGATATGCGCGCACATAAACCATCTGATTTGTGTGATGGATGGGATACTGCTCAAGTGCCCAAACCAAAGCAAATGGTTTCTTTAAAAGTCCACAGCCTGAGCCTTTGACCTAAAGGTCCAATCAAAAAGGCAGTGGAACAATGTTAAAAGATGCAGTACCATAGTAGACAGTGGTCAACAATTAGTTCATACGCCGTTTGTTCCCTTATGATCCTGGAGTCCATGTGCACCATTGGTTTGAAATCAGAGTTTCCCAACTCCTCCAGGTAGACCCTTCGTATCCACCAAACCGGTTAAAGCGCCGGACACTCATGTTTCGTCCTCTCAGTTTAGTAAACGACATCCCCGCCGCGAGAAAGCACTGAGTAGGACTTTCCTGGCAATGGTTGTATACACACGGCTATGTGAGACCATTTCGAGAGGGTGAACTAACTCTCCCCACTCTTGGCCATATCAGGGCACTTGGGGGCCTGGTCCCCTTTAATATCACACGAATCACGGTTACCTTCGATAATTAAGCCTCTGAATGACAAAGTATCCATAACGGATTAGTTGCAATCAGTTGCAATCATACACGGAGAACACCAATCCGATCACATTTGATGGAGAAGCTCTGGAAGAGGTGGATCATCGACGAACAAGCATGATTCAATGCAGATGTGAAGACGAGGATTGGCAAAGCAAGGGCAGCATTCCTACAAATGAACGATATATGGAACTCAAAACAACTGTCCGTCAACCAATATCAAAGTTAGAATCTTCAATATGAATATTAAGACAGTTCCACTGTACGGAGATGAAAATTCGAGAACTACCACAACCATCATTGAGGAAGTTCAAGTATTTATAAATAGTTTTCTACACAGGATACCGAATATCCATTGATCGGATACAATCAGCAACAGTCTACTGTGCGAGAGAACTAACCAGACAAGCGGTAACTTGGTATCTGAATTGAAACTGAAAAGAGAACGGTCAGAGAACAAACTGTGTCGGGAATCGGAAGCAGACATGAAAAGTATGAATAGAAACTGGAGAGAACTGGAAAGGATTGGCGAGACCAGGGTTGTATGAATAGTGCTTGTGAGCGTTTTATGCTCCTCCATGAGGGGTAACAGGCGTAATTAAGTTACGAAGTAAGTTTTAATGATATTTAGTTTTGTCACTATCCATGATAGTTTTGTCTAAAACTTTGTTATGTTGTTAGTAATCTTAAGCAAGTAATATCAACTGGTTAGTATTCTGAATTACGTACTGAATGGAAATCATTTAACTAGTTGGTATTTAGCACGTCTATTGGCAACATCTTGCTGTATTCATTTAATCTTACCGTTTATTAGTGCTCTTTAGATTAACATTGTATGTTTTTATTAAAAATTTACTTTAGACGTTTACTATGAATATTTGATTAAGCTAAATTTCAAGCTACTATTAAGGAATGCTATCTCTGATAATAAATGAAGTCACTCTTCGTGAATGACAGTGACAAAATTTGAAGTAAAACCGTTTTTCTCAAATTAGAAATAAGCACTTGGGGAAGTATTTATACAGTTATTCTAACTCAATTATTTATTATTTTTATGAGAAAGTGAGTAATGCTTATTGGCTTTAAATCAAATCTCATTGTCAATTGTACTAAGAATATTTGAATTATTGATGAGACTAGTAAAATCAGGATTTCAGATTTATTCAATACAGTTGCACATTTACCTTCAAGAAATTATATTTACGCATTGTTTTCAGTTGTTATTCGGTCTACAATGTTCAACAAATCTTTTTTTCTGTTTTAAGACATTACAATTACCACCAGTGTTTTCAGTTGTTTATAGAGACAGATTCATTATTTTCCTTGTGTTATTCTTCCGCTAATTGTTCACTATTAATGATGTATCTTAATTTTATTTTAAAATTAACGAACTATTTATTGGACTTGATTTTCTTGTTTTGTTTAAATGAACACAACCGATTGTAAATAGATTTTAAATTTCAGTAAAATACTTGGGTTCTTATATCAAGGTTTATGAATACTACTTCATTAGTTCAATCAAGAAATAGAATAATTAAATGACTCTCGAAAAAAATAAATTATTGATCAAATTGATGAAGAAAAAGAAATAAAATTGTATGAATTCATATATCCATATCTAAAAGTAACCATTGGTAACAATCGCTGATGAATAACGTGAAATTTATTATTGCGTTGTTAAATGTTGAGGAATAATGTAAATTGTTTAATGTTTTAATTCAGTTAAAACTAAATTGACTTACCTTTAACGTCACAATTCAGACATTTCATCATAGTTACTCTCGACAAGACAAATTGTAAAGGTACTCACATAATATGGTAAACTATGTCTAAGTACATATTTTATTTCCATCAATTAGTTCGTATTCTTATACTCAAGGAAATACGTAAATAGATAGGATTTGTAATGTTTATTGAAGTGCTCATGTACAACATTGCGAAAGTATCGGGGATTTAATTGTGATATTGTCTTGATTATACACCAATCATAATCATCGAGAACAACAGATCATACGTAGAATAACATATGAACAAACAATTAGATCGTCATTAGATCATAATAAAAATGAATATGAAAATGTATTAAATATTTAGGGAAATTTTGAACTAATCAAGATAATTTAATGAGTCAATGATCACAATTAAATCAATGACATAACTGCCTATATTAGGTAAGACATACAAATTGATAGTAAGATAATAGATGTACTAGTAATGATAAGGATAATAGAATAACAAAATTTCCAGTCAACAGTTCAACGTAGTAAAAAAAATTTCTACAATTGCAGTCATGTAATAAAAATTGTGTAAATAATCATGCATACGAAGTTAGTAAAATCGTTTATTAAATCATATAAAGCTTAGCAAAGAACATGATGTCACGAATTTCTTCTGAACACATGAAGTAGGTTTGTAGGTTTGAACCCCCTACAGATTCTGTTTTATATTGGAGATTAGATTGAACCGATGACGAAATACGATCGAACAGTCGAAATGACTCGGTTTTGTATACCGTACAACCACTGTCAATCAAGTATGCTACGTATTGCCTTCACCAAACCCTAACCAAATCAAGCTGTAAGATGTTAACTCGTTCGTTAGTTAAGTTGACTGATAGTGAGCTCAATATAACTATCTCATTATAAGCAGTTGAATTTGTGAATCCACATCTGATGTGAACAAAGAAACAAAAAGCTATTACAAACAACGGAGTCGTTATTTCACTTAATTCAAAGCTTGTACAATAAAAAAACGTTTAGTTTTGATCATAGTTTATTATACAAACAATAAGCCTTTCTTTGATGTATGATTCACTGCCATACCCTTTTATGTCCCAAAGCTATTGTAATTTAAACGTAGTCTCTGGAACTCCATTTTTCTACACGGTTTGGACACATCTGTGTTTTCCTAATCGTTTGTGCATTGTGATAATGTTAGTCACATACTTATTTATGTGTCATTTTACAATAATCTGAATCAGAATTGAGAATGGATTGAGTAGTGTTCCAGTTGACTCATCTCTCTCTCTCGCTTGCCAACCAATCAGGTGACTACTGGATAGTTTTCTTCTCTCTACTCAGGGACATTAGCCTCAATTCGCATTCACGCATTTCTAGCCTCAAGGTTAAACTAGTTAGCCTGTCGTCAAGGCCTTAATATAGATCAATGCGATTTCTCTTCTGTATATTATTGGCTAGACAGATCAAAGATGCAACGTCAAAGAGTCACTCATGTTTAAGCAAGCATTAATATAAGGTTAGCTACATAGAATGTCATTTTAACTGCCCTCATTAATCGATCATACAAGACAGCGCTAGCTACGTCCGCTCTGAATTACGGTCTTAAGAATAAGGGGTTCCCTTTTGAACGACCTTCATTTTGTTTCTTCTTGCATACATGCACTTCCCTAGAAAACTTTCCGAGTTGCTATCAGAATTTTATTAATAAACTCCAACTCCTTTATAGTATCATCATTTTTTCTGTACTTGTAAGATATGTGACCAGATTTCTTTTGTAGTGGATGGGTGTAAAACTATAGAAGTAGAAAAACTGATACATGAAGGAGCTTATTTTTGTACAGGCTTCTGCTTAACGAGTTGTCTCCCTGTTTAATCAATGAGATATTAAGGACGATTAATATATTGCCACTCACCCAGACAAACAAAAGTGATTGCTATGTGTGCAGTGTCAAAGTGATTTAAGAGTTCTTTATTTATATCTCGACTGACAATGATGGAATTGTTGTCGATGTAACGGAAGTTTAGACCTAGTTTTCCGATGATCTCGTTTAGGGATCCATTTTCTAACTTTGCTAGTAAGAAATCAACTGAAATTGGACTTCAAGATGAGCCTATGGTTATTCCATCAACTTATTTACGATAAATACTGCTTAAAAAGAACGTTCATCGTAAACCTTAAGAGCGATTCCTTAGGATTATCCAACGTGAAGCCATTGTTGATTTGTTTTTCTGATATTTGTTTACACGATTTTCTTAATTAATGCTACATTGGTGAATAGAGATATGACATCTAGTGATATATTTTTTCTGCTCGCACTCATATATCCCACTTTGGAAATGAAGCGAAAGGCATCATGGATGCTTCTCTTTAAAAATGCCTGATACAAAGGTGCGAAGATTCGAACTAGCCACTTCGCAATTTTGTGATATGGAGAAGTTTACATATCTAGAACCTGGCGGATGCGAAGACCAAACTGTAGACCGTATATTCGTGTAGTGTTTGATACAATGGGTTTAAGTGAATCATGAAGCTCAAACGAAATTATTTCCTTTAAGATGGTGGAGAAGATTTATAGCTCACATGGATGATTTAGGTGGCGCTTTGTTCTCTGATATGGATGGTAGAAGTTTGAGATGATGTTGTTCAAAAGAACGATGAAAGCTTCACGACCAAATCATCCAGCTCAAAGAACAAAACTCCACCTAAGTTATTTCCTTTCATTTTAGTTCATTTTTATTGAAGTAAAAGGTTGCATCAGAGAAATTTAATTTCCTCTCAACGGTTATGACTGCTTTACTATATTCATTCCGTAAATGGCAAAACTGACTTTTTCACATTGTACTCAACAAAAGTTAAATTTTGGTGATTACAACTTTAACCACTGATGTAAGGTATTCTAATTATTTACTCGAATTCGCGAGTCGATTTAACTAGGCCGCCATTGAAAACTTGAAGGCACTGAACGGCCGTTTTGTCCTAGCATGAGACCTCTCAGCAGTGCGCATCCACGACCCTGAGCGCGAGACTCGAACCCAGGACCTTCGGTCCTGCATGCGGACAACTGATCTCAAGACCACTGAGCCGGCATCCAACGATGTTAGTGGAACTCTTCACAGTGCATAAACTTCATTGAATATGAGAAGACGTTTGACTGCGTGAATAGGGGAACCTTATGGAACGTTCTTAGACCTTATTGTGTACCTGAGAATATTGTCAACATCATTCGGAGTTCATACGACGGACTACGGCTCAAAGTCGTGCGTGGAGGACAGCTGACCGATGAATTGCAAGTGAAGACCGGGGTCAGACAGTGTTGCACACTCTCCCCCTTCCTCTTTCTTCTGGTGGTCGATTGAATTATAAAGACCTCAATATCTGAGGAGAAGCATAGAATACAACGGACAGCTTGGATGCAACTAGACGATTTTGACTTCGCAGATGACCTAACCTTTCTATCCCATGCACACACACACTCACACACCAACAAATGCAGCTAAAGACAACCAGTGTAGCAGAAGCCTCTTCATCAGTAGGTTTCAACTTACACAAGGGAAAAAGAAAGATCCTCAAATACAACACGGAGAACACCCATCCAGTCACACTTGATGGAGTAGCTCTGGAGAAGGTGGAATCTTTCATATGCCGTACCTGGATTGCATCATCGATGAACAAGCGTGATTCGATGAAGATGTGAAGGTGAGGATTGGCAAATCAAGAGTCACATCTATTCTTCTACAGTTAAGGAATATATGGAACTCAGAACAACTGTCTGTCATCCAATATCAAAGTCAGAATCTTCAATACGAACGTCAAGACGGTTCCACTGTACGGAACAGAAACTTCGAAAACTACCACAACCATCATCAGAAACGCACAACTATTTGTAAACAATTGTCTACTCGAGACACTGAATATTCATTGATTGGATACCATTAGCAACAGTCTACTGTTAGAGAGAAGAAATCAGGAAAAGACGTTTGACGTGGATAGGATGTGTATTACGGAAATCACCAAACTGCATCACAAGGCAAGTACTAACTTGAAACCGTGAAGGGAAACTGAAAAGTGGAAGGCTGAAGAAAACTCTGCATCTGGAATCGGGAGGAGACATGAAAAGTATGGATAGAAACTGGAAAGAAGTGGAAAGGTTTGTCGAGTTAACGATTGGATGGACAATGGTTGTGAGTGTTCTCTGCACCTCTACAAGAGGTGACAGGTGTAAGTATGTAAGTAAGTAAGTAGTAATAATATTGAGAGAAGCAGTTCACTTACAAAAAATACAACCATAAGATATCTTTTAGTTAAAGAAGTTAGGTTGACTTTGATGAAGAATGGTAATGTAGGATAACCGCTAGCTTCTGTTCTGAGCGATAACTGATAAAATCTCTAACCACTGTGTTGCAACAACTCTAACACCCCGATCTGGAAGTCGTAGAGGACTAACATAAGCCAATCCTGTATGGCTTTCTTTCATACCACGACACCATGTGATACTCTGACTATTTCTACGCTTTTTTCAGCCAGTCTCAGCGTCTTCGAATTAAGCACGACTATAAGTGAAATAAACTCTTCACTCACGTCACTATCAATGCTTATGCAGCTACCCAGATACACGAATTTCTCGACTACTATGCTTACTACCCACGGTGAGTGCAGGATCTGTTATAGTCGAGGTTAAAAGTCTCTAGTTCAACAGCTCCACGCCACCATTATCTACATTATCATAGCCGTTCCCTGAACGTTATCGATGGCAAAATTGAAGAGCAACGGTGAGATTAGATAAACCTGCCTAAACCCTTATTCTGCTCTAGGTATTTGTACATAGAGCCTTCCAGATGTTAATAAACTTTCAAGACACAAATTTTTTCAACAAACAGTCGTAGAAAACAGTCATTTTTCAACGAATATCAAGAAGCACAACGATTTTTGACTTGTATTAAGTATGGCGATGTTCTAACATTTGGTGGAGGGTGAAGATATGATCTATACATCCTCGACTAGAACGAAAACCAGCCTGCTCCTCGCGAGTCAATCTTTCTCAGGTTTTGAACAATCTAGGAAGTATGACGGAAGCCAATAGTTTAGACGCAATCGGAAGTAGACCTATCCCCTGATAGTTGTTGTAGAAACAACGTGAACACTTTTTAACGATAAGAAAAACTAATGACTCGCTGGACGATGTTGAAACACTCTTTAATTGCCAGACCTTTGTAAATAACTCATTCAGTTCCATGACCAAAAAGGTTGCCAGTACCTTAAAAAACGACCGCAGCTAAGTCATCTGGGTCTGACGACTTGTGGCGCGTAAGGAGTTAAAGTCCCTTGCGCCCCATTTGATGGATCAGTCGGCATA